GGGCTGGAATGGTCCATCAGTTTCCAAAACCTGATCTGCCCATCCCTGCTGCAACAGGCTGGCGGCATACAATATCACCCTGTGCCCACAAGACCAGGAATCATTCTGCTCCGGCGTCTTACCATCACACAACTGAATGGTAGTCCTGGATTGCATTACTGCCAAAACAGGAAGGGTGGAAAACACATAGTCCGTTGACCCTATGGCAAACACAAAAAATAGTTAAACATTAAAAAAAATCTAATCAAAACACTTACATCAAACTCACCGAAAGTCCCAGGATAGACGGCAGCGTAAGCTTCAGCAATCGGCTTGCAGGCTTGTTGCGCAGCTTTTCGGATGTGAGGATCAGCTTTCCCATCGTAAAGCACTGCCTGCCACTCACCGGCACGGATGGCCATCAGTGCTTGATGGTTGTCTGAATACCTGAGCCATGGATTGCTTGTTGCTTCGCCGACCCTAGAACCGGAAAAGGAAAGCAATGGGGAACATAAAACAACAGAAAAACAAAAGAACCAAAAGGATTGCTAGGCTTTGTTTAGCTGCACCAAAGCAAAAATAGTTTTTTGGAAACCCTTGTAGTTGTATCAGCTTCAATCGCTCCACAAAGCTGACGCTGACGTCCAGCAAAACTACATCTTGAGGCCACTGCTCGCCCAAACGCTGCTGCAAAAGGTTCACCATCCCTCGTAGTAGAACTCCCCAGTGCACCTGCTGTCCTTAACATTGCGTTGTTTACCTTTTGTCTTGCCCTGTCTGACCTTCTTACCACCCAAGAATAATTTGGGTTGACACACAGAACATTTTCCTAATATTTTTATATCCGGGCAAACTATTTTTGAGCCTAAAAAAACATGCTAACTACTTTGGAATAATTTAGACTATTTAGGGCATATCCCCCAAACAAGTTCTCCACAGAAATTGAAATGGTTCTGGTTTAATTGGAATACAAATTAATAATTCTGCAACTCGTAACAGGCTTCAAACCCTGGAATAATTGGAATTGCAGACAAATGTCCCATCTGAAAAGTGTCCTTTGCCCATGGATCATAGGCAGAAAGCAACCCATCAACCACGTCCGTCCACATGGCGGCCTTCGCCTACCACAACTGCGGTTTCAAGCCAATCCAGATTGACACAATCTAGAAACAAGTTGGAAGGATTTGAAAGACATCAAAAAAGAAACCCCCAAGGGCCTCCACACCGCCATTGAAATCCAGGTACTTCACGATGCTGGCGTCTAGATGTTCACGGCAAAAAGCGAAAACATCATCGTCAACAGTCATTTTAGCCCTGTGCTTGTCATCCAGGTTCGAATAGTCAGCCGCTGTCGCTCCAGGATTCTTCTTCTTGAAATTCAACCAAGAAGAAAACTCGCTGAGAGAAACTTGCCAGTAAGCCCGCCTCGTGAAAATAAAGCAAAAGTTGCCTGAAAAAAACTAAATCATGAATCTGCCGACTCTCATACAAAGAATGGCAGTTCTTATACAAAGGAAGGAACACTATACAAAGAATGGCAGTTCTTATACAAACCACGCAAATGAACAAACTTAATCAACATGTAAAGGTTTTTGATATCTGTAAGTACATCGATAGCGCGACCAAATGTGACCGACAAAAACAAAGCAACAAGAAACAATGGCTTAGCGCAAGCCAGACACACTGCAGAGAAACGAAGCTCGAAGAAAACCTTCTGTGCCACCTCCTCTCTGATATCCATCCACTCAGCAAATACCTGCCAACAATCCACAATCACAAGAATCTTGTTGGACCAATAGGTTTCCAGAAGCTTTTTACAATTGGGGGTCAAGCACATAAAGAGGCTTGGCAAGTCTAAAGGAGTACGAGATATGGGTCAAAAAAACAAACGTGCAAAAGAGTCACCTGTTGTGGCAGTCGTATGATGTTCTCCAACCCAAGAACACCGAAGCCAAGCTCCAATTTCAGAGGTCCTAGCGAAGAAACCCCTCAAAGAAATAGATACTTTGTTGCCTTATCCCAAAAAGCCGTGTCCTCGCCCCCCCGAGAGGACAAAAACCAAAAACATCGGACATGTCCTGTCATGTCAGCACATGAGCTCCCATGACACCCAGGTTGAGCCACATCCCCATGTGGCATTGGTCCTCAGCTGTTGTTGTTCTCTTTGCAATGCAAATTTCATTTGTAGAGGGACCCACAAAAACATATCAAAACAATTCAAAACATATAAATACACATAAACAATCAATGAAAAGTAGATAATCAGAGAGTGAGCAAGCATCCGGGAGGTGAGATGTTGGCTTCCTTCTTCACTACTTCCAGCTTCGTCTCCACATGTGCACTCCCTGCGGCGTTCATGTCTTGAGACTCCACTGGTCCTTGCCAAGACCAGCCCCTATTGATCCCTATTGGATTGTGAAGGAACTAGTCTACGATCCACCCTTCATAGAATCCAAAAAGCCCCATAGAAGAAAACATAAGAAGACATATAAAAACAACAAAAAGAAACATATGAAAAAAGGTTGACGTTCCATCCATGCTTCCAGCTCCACCAGTACTTGCGACTGCTGCATCCTGCTCATCACCTTGGAGCTTCCCCCCCTTCTTTTTGGATGGGCCATGCCAGACACCCTTGGAAAAATCGGTTGCGCCCTCACAGTGTCGAAAATCCGCCGACCCCACTCGTGGGATGAGGCGTGACTGTTGATGAAGGCTAAGGCTATGATTAAGGCTAAGGCTAAGGCTATACCTCCCCTACCCTTCCGGAGACTTGTTGCAGTGACGAAAAGGTCCCGAGATTTGTGCAAGATTTGTGCAACATTTGTGCAAGATTTGCGCAAAATTTTGCCAAATGTATTGCTTTGCTTCTGACTGGGGATTGGGCACCCTCTCCACCCGCGCGGGAAAATAAGCACGGTCCCTAAATGGTCCTGGGCTCGAATCCCGGGCTGGTCGCGGCCTGGTCCCTGCCAGTGCCCTTGGTTTTTCCTAGATTTTGTAACGTTTTCCGCTGGATTTCTAGGATTTTCAAAGGTTTTTGTAAGATTTACTCATGCCCTTCAGACCTTTTGCGAGGGTGTTTTCCAGCATTTCCTCTGGTTTCTCTAGGTACTTGTAAAGGCTCCGTGTTGTTTTTTGGGTTCCCAGATTTGCAAAGAAAAATGCTAACCCATTTTCCTCCATTTGCAAACGTTTTCCGCTGGATTTCTAGGATTTTCAAAGGTTTTTCTAAGCTTTACTCATAACTTTCATGCCTTTTGCGATGGTTTTTCCAGGATTTTCTCTGGTTTTTCTAGATAGTTCTGTGGTTGTCTAGGGGCTCCGTGTTGTTTTTTGGGTTCCCAGATGTTCAAAAGAAAAATGTTAACCCATTTGCCGTGATCTCTTCTGCCTACTTTTGGTGATGCAGTGACAGATCATGTCTCTAGGGGTTCCGTGGTTTTTTTTGGTTCCCCGATTTTTCGAAAAAAAATCTGAACCCATTAAACCTAGGCCATCCACTTCCCTGGGGGTCGGCGGCTGCCAGGCGTTTGCCTGGTTAAATATATTATTATTCTGGTGTATGGGACACGCTAAGCTGGTGGGATTATGTTTTTCTCAAAATATTCAAATTATTCTGGGGTATGGGAGCATGTAAAGCTGCGGGAATAAAAACTTCAGATATCTTTGTTTTCGTAAATGTGCAACATTGCCTCGAACAAGGCACTCATAGTTTTTGACAGCCGCGGGCTGCCCCTCCACTCTTCACGAAGATAAATCCAAACGTGATGGCTTACACGCTTATATCCAGTGGATGACACTGAATCATTGTCCTCAGATGCAGAAGCAAAGCATTGGCTTTCTACATTTTCGCCAAAAATACCAAAAAATACAGATGTTCTTCAAAGGCCCTACCCAAAAGCTCTGGTCCACTAATCAACAAGGGGCGCACACAGCTGTCCACACATTCCACTTCTTGTTGAACGCTGGGGCACGCGTGCTGTCACCACCTCACATCAACTCGAATGTTCAGTGATCAAAGCCATCCATTAAGTATCAGCACAAAACCGATTAAAAAAATGGTTCCTAAATCGCTTCAAGGCACAAGTTGCAACGCAACAACCTTTCGGAGGATCGGGTATCGTCATTGCAATAAAGATGTGAGAAATTCGTATATGGCGTGTTTGAGCCAGAATCTCGAATCATTGGTCAGCTCTGCATTGCGAACACAGCGAATTCCAATTCGATCTGATTCGACCTGTGAACTCCCTTAAATAATTATTCTGGGGTAGGCAGAGGTTCGTCAGGATTATTATTCCATGGTACCCCCTAGTCTGTTTTCTCCATAGTCAAAATAAATTATTCCAGGTCAATTTTCTTTAAATTATTCCTGGAAAATTATTCCTGGGGGTTACCCGGACCATGGAATAATTATTTAAGGGAGCGTCCATGAAAAAACGGGCCGGGCGCGGGCCATGCTTTTTCCTTTTTGGGGGGCGGGCGGACGGGGGTCTAACACTTGAAACTGTGCGAAGATGTTGGGCGGAGGTGATGTGGTAGAACTCCAACAAAGTGGAGCATGTCTTTTACCACTTCCTTGATCAGCTCGTGAACTCAGACTGCAGAAACTAGGTGTGAAATAGTGATGCCAGCGAATGTCTCACCAAAACTGACACATATCAACCTGGAACCCCAAACAACCAGAAAGAAATGGATGGAACTCCCCAGTCCCAACCATTTCCTATTTAAAGGATTTGCATGGATTTGCCATATTGGAACAACCAGACTTGTTTCTAGTTGGGACTGGGGTTCCAGGAATGTATCAATGTATGTCACAAGTTATGTCACAAGTCAGGGTGCCGAACGAACGGAGGAAGTGTTGGACTTGGGACCCCCCCCCTCGTCGTCACACTTTCGCCTCGCCGTGGATGGGACTTAGAACCACGTCTGCCTTGTGACTCCTGGTTGCAGAAAATCCCTTCACCAGCCCCAAAATCGCACTTCTTCCACGAACCTCCCCATATATCCCCATCTTCTGGAGCCTGTAGCGTCCACCACACAGTCCTCCGCACGCACGGTGTGCCCCAGCAGCACCAGCGGTGCCGCCAGCGCCAGCGCCCAGTAGTGAGGCATCTTTCTTTGGGTTTGTTCCCGCCAAACGCTGCACCTGGGGCGGCAGGCGCCAGCTGAACATGTTCGGTCGATGACGACTGCGATGAGTGCGAGCGATGACGACTGCGATGACGCAGACGAAGAGACTGGAGTCAGAAAACGCATTACGTCTTTGGATTGCAAAACCTTTTACATGTGGGGGGCTTGACATACAATCAAGAGTCTACCATGATCATGTCTACCTACATATTTAGTTGACGAAGACCCGGTTGAGGTGGAGATACACTGGCATGGCAAATTCCAATGCAGACCCCGAAGCACTGGAGCATTGGAGCATCTCAACTGATCTTTTTGGGATATCACGGCCCATTCTTGAGTTGGAGTTGGCCCACTAGTTGGCCGGTCTCATGGTGGGCTATCACTCAGTCTGCGCCGCCGGTCGATCCGGTTCGGCGACCGGTTCGAGGGCCTGCAGAATGCACCGGACTTCAAAGTGATGGACCTGGTGAGTTGTAGTGCCAAATCCTTGGTAAAAGCAATGGTTCCTCATGGTTCTTTGGTTCTTAGCCTATGAAATCATCGTGGTTGGAAGATGTTGGAAGCCTAGAGGGAACTCATTCACGCTGCCCCCAACGGATCTCATCCCCATCCTCCATCCTCCCATCCCGCGGCACGGTTGGTGTACAGTATGCGACCGAGGTGCAGGGCAGGTGTCCAGAGCGGGCTGCGGACTGGAATATGAAGATCTTGAACCACCAGGGACCGAAAATGAACCGATGGAAATAGGGGGACCCTCAATCAATGGGAGGTATACAATGGAAAGACCATGTAGGGTAGACAATTTGGGGACCCTACATGTTTAGTTGACGAAGACCCTCAAAAGAACCAATCAATGGAAATGGTTTTGGTCGTGGTTTTGGTATAGTTTTGGGTGTATTTCCCTTCTTCCATGGAGTCGTTGGGAGGTCTCCCTATTTTAATATGCTGCCATATATGTTGGGAAATGGATGTCCAAAGAAGGCGATGCCTTTTGGAAGGTCGTTCTCAGTTCGTGCTGGAGGTGGATTCCCCTGTCAGGCATCTCTACACCTACACGCATGCATGCCGCATCGTGACATGACGCATCATGAACCCATAACATGCACCTGTTCCAAATCCCGGTGCCCAACTCACGAGCTTCGTGCCTCATCCCGGTGCCCGACGAGAGCTCGGAATCGCTGACCGACGAGTCCGTCCCAGGCTTCCCGGGCCCTCGGGGTGTGCGTTCGGGCAGTCGCGCTTCTTGCACTTCTTGCTGAAGCGGCACGGCCTCAGGGCGGGCCGTAGAAATACCGCCCGTGCACATGGTGCGGCAGGATCTGCAAAAGGTCACGGGAGACGTCTCAACTGTTCCAACGCGAAACTCACTGAGACAGTCACGCGGATCGCGTTGAGGTTCCCTCACAGTTCATCAGTTCATCCATACTACTCCAGTGCAACATTCACCAACCGTTCCACTTCGTTGTTTTCATGTGTTTTTTCCAAAGTTCCACGTTTCTCTCTCTCCCTCTCTCTCTCTCCCTCCCTCCCTCCCTCAGGTTTCGAGACTGCGTGGCTTTCAATTGCAGGATTCGCTCCTCTTCTCTTTGCCTGTCCGGAGCTTCGATTCGGCCCTCTCCATCTGCAGGGTCCCGCGCGGACCCAGGGGGTCCACACGAAGAAGAGAGGGGGGGGCGTCAAAACACAAACAGACAGGTCACAGGTCACAGCCTGTGTCATTTGGGTCAAAGAGCCATGTTCAGGTCAGTTTGGTGTGTTCAAACAACATGTCTAAGTGATTTCACCTGGTGGTGACATTTGGTGAACCTAACCTATATAAATGTGATTGATACGCGTATACAGTATACAAGAGTTTTGTGATGTTTTGTGTCTTTCGAAGAGGGAGGAGGTGTCCCCAATGGGGAAAGGCGCAAAGCTTGCGGAAAGTCCTTCTTTGTGAAGGCCCGAATTGAGCATGTCCTGCACAACCACAGAGTGTTTCTGTGTTCTCTTCCCTCGATTTGTTTCTATACTGGCTGGTGGTTTCAACTCACTCGAAACATGTCAGTCAGAGTATTAAATCATCCCAAGAACATAAACATATCTCTGAAACCAGGGATATACTACTCTTCGCTTATGTAACATATCTCGTCTTAACTACTTATATGTCTCCATTTGGCTAGGTCGTGCGAGCGGAAAAAACCGAAAACAACCACCCTTCCCCCAACAGCTGGACCCTGGACACCCGAACGGGTCTGGCACTCCAGATCCGCCACCCGGCGCATGGGACCTCTGCCGTTCCTCCACGATGTCCTGCCGGGGTCACCGTGCTTCGCGTCTCGAAGTGAGTCGAGCGCGGTTTGGAGCCGCTTCCCCTGCTGGGTGTGGCGTGTGTCTTTTCTTCGGTTGGTCCCCAGAAGACTAGAGATGCATGCCCTGCGGCATCCTTGATCTATCACGACCTCTGCTTCCCCTGCTTCCTCTCTCCTCTTCACGGCTCTTTTTGGTGCACGCAGATTGGCTCTCGAGGTGGCCGAAAATCGAAAATTGTTCAGTACATGCATCAAATCTATGATGGCTACTTTGCCTGCATCCTTGATCACCCACGGATCCTCTGGCGCCATGGTGAACTCTCATGGCTCTCCTTCCCTGAAGTTGGTGTTGAAATCCTTGTACTCCTTCCTCATCTCAATCTTAATGCCCTCCGGCACCTTGGCACAGCGGAAGCTCTTGATCACGTCCAACAAGGTCTCCTTCATCTCCTTGAACCGCGTGGAGACCACGCCGCCCCAGAAGATCTGCAAGGGTCCCCCGGGCGTCAGCTGCGTCACCACGGCAAAGCCATCACGATCGATCCTGGGAGGCCGCGCGAAGGCGGTCGAGGGCGGCGGCAGGATCGGACCCCCGCCGTTTGGGAGATCCCTGCGGGGCGTTCTCGCTTCGGAAGGTCGGCAAGTGCTCTCCTTTTTAACCGGAACCCTCCCAAAAAAGAAAGCACAAAACAAGAATATACCTGGACCCTCCTGTCGGGGTGTCCAATGAACTACCCCACACTACCTATAGGCTTCCAGACAGGGCACCCCGACAGGAGGGTCCTGGTATGGAAGAGTCGAATGTTCTACTCCAACCAACCATGGCGAGTCGAATTCCTTCTTCAGTCCGCCTCTCCGAACACGGGGCGGATTCTCGCGTTCGTCGGCGCTGCTTCAGCTGCAAAGCAAAAGCGATGGGCCGGGCGGCGAACAAATGGTGTCCCACCCGGAGGGGGCAAAGTTCACGTCCACACTGGCCACGCTAGCAACCGAATTTAAAAACACACTGAAAAAAAACGGTTGACCTGGTTTAGTTTGAACCTCCTGAGCACCAAAAACATGCCTACCACCAATGGCTTCTTTTGGGGATTCCGGCCTCTTCTTTCAACGCTCGGCTGTGGAGAGAGACCTGCCTTCCCACCGAGAAAGACCCGACACCCAAACGGCCGGGGCTCTCGAAGCCCGCGCCGGTGAACAAGGTCCAATCGAAGGACACCTGGTGCCGCCCGGCCCGGTGGGGTCCGGTCACCAACGACCGGGGGACGACGGTGCGCGCGAGCTCGCGTGGAGGAAGTGTGGAGCGTTTGGGGTCGTCGAACGGTGGAGGTGGTCGAACAAGAAGCGACTACAAGGAACATGATTTGGGGGGGTGTTGTGGTTGGTTTTCGTAGGTGTTCACCCATGCCGCGTACTCACATGTGTTCAACATGGGGAAGCCAGACCAGCAGGGCGCAGTCTTGACAAATGTGGGCGGTGCGGTCGCGAAAAGAACGTGGGTTTGGAGCCAAGCAAAGAGCCGGAGAAGCTCCCCGGCACTGGCTAGGAGGTGCAGGACTTCGTTCATGAAACTGATTTACAGGACTTTCTGCTGCTTTCAGGCAACCACATGTCACCATATTACCCAAATGCCGCCAGCAAGAGCCTATGGCGTGCTTGCGCACTCACGTGCCAAAAAAGGGACACCCCTTGGGCAAACCAATCGAAATGGACCACTCAACGGTCACCAGAATCCTTGCGAAAACGCCAACTACCAGCTAGTTTGTCTGACTCCCACATCCTCACCCTCAGAGGTCCCTCCTTTCGCAGCTTCATCGAACTCCTTCACCAATTCTTGGTGAGTGGTATACCACCCGTGACCCACTCGGATGGCAAGTCTGCAGCTGATCCACTCGGATCTGTTTTCCGGATGCCCACCTGCAACGGGACCCGACTTCCAAATAGAACATGGGACATGACCCCATCAAAAAAGGCAGGTAAATTTTCCGAGGTACGCACCTCCGAGACTCCAGGTGCCTGCCTCAAAGCCTAAGCATCGACGCACGAACACCCCGCCCCGTGCCAGGCGGCCAGCTTGTAATTGGGAGCGCCCTCTAAATCGCTGACTTTGCCGATGCTGAGGCCCTGTAAGGAGGCGGAGCCCTTCAAGGTCAAGGCGCGAAAGAAGGACTTCTTGAAATCCTTCGTGTCGGCGCGTTAACTGCGGGCGAGTCGCGAGCGTCGCGACACGGTCCAGTCAGGGCAAGGCAGGGGGGGCGACTTGTATAAAGATCTGTGGTGGGTCGTTGGCCTGTGGTTGGAAACAAAAGGGGAGAAAAACCCTCCCACATGGTCAGTGTATGTTGCTGCAGAGCCTTGGCTCCTGTTGCAGGAGTACCGAGTCGTTACAAAACTAGACGACGGTTGGCCCGAGAGCGAACAAGGTGATGTCATAGCAGCGTCGAGTAGGATAATCAGAAAACTGAAAGATGAAATAATGATGAAATACCAGGACCTTCCCAGGGGGTGCCCTGGCTGGTTTCGCCCCAGCCCACCACTAAGGGACCTCCAGCCAGGACACCCCTTGGAAGGTCCAGGTATAGAGATACCAAAGTAAATGATTTCCAATGATCGATTATGTTGATTTCGGTTGCTGAAGGAAACATGTGTTGTCAGAAGATCATTCCAAAGTGACAGATCATGAACGAGAGAAAGACAAGTAAGATGAAAAAGGCCAGGTGTTGAAGTGCAAGCAGGTGTGTCAAGACGATGTGCGAAGAGGAACCGGGGAAGATGATGTGTGAACACGAAGAGAAGAAGGTACTTAGCTGAATTGTTAGTGTTCATCAATGGTGTGGTGTTCTCCAATAGGGTGGTGTGGTCCTGAGCTGATTTGCCGGCGTCTGGGTGAGATGTATCGATGGTACTGACGTTCAACGTCCATTTCGTGCATAAGGGTTGCAGTGCACACCTCAAAATTGCAATTTTACCTATAGGTTTTGGACGTCCAAGGTGCACGAAATGCTGCGCCTGTCACGTTTCGTGGCGCTTCGACGCCACCGCCTGCGCCTTCAGAGAGAAAGAAAGAGCGAGCGAGCGAGAGAGAGAGAGAGAGACAGACAGGATCTGCAGATCTGAAGATGTAGATCAGCAGATGTGAGGATGTGAAGCTTTTTGACGAAGAACCCTTCGCAGGAACTCTCGGGAAATATACCAAAAACTGGTGGTCTCGCCCATGTTTCAACAGGTGGACGGTCAGGAGATGGACTCAAACCAGAGGATCCAAAAAGTCTGCATGGATTGGGCACCAAACCGAGGTTGTGCTTAGTGTTATTCATCCACTATCCACACTATCCACCTACCACAAGTGAGGGTTGGGGTTGTTGTGCCTTAATTCGGCTCAGGGTCACCCTCAAAAAAAAACACGTGCCATCTTGGCCTTATAATATTGTTCATTGAATACTTACCAACATCTCCTCAGGGAATGTGTCTGTGTGCGTGCCTTCGACCATTTTTGGTGGCCATTAAAACCATCATCGCCAATGGCATCCAATGGCTCATCTAACTTGGGTCTATCCTATTACCTGTAACAGTGGATGATGATGGGGCCTGGTTGCAGGCCTTGTTCAAAAGTAGTGATGTTCTTGTTTACTGACGGCTCTGCAGGTCAGTTCGGACAGACCTGGCCCATCTAACTATCTGAATCTATCTGAGATCAGACCCAGCATCCGCTTGCTTCATGTCTTGAAGGTTTCCCTTGAACTCCGTGTCGATGAACACCGTTGCGGAATCACCTTGCACCAGGGCGAAGAAATGTGCGTGCCTTTTTTTGCGGAAAAAGGACTTGATGAACTTGGCCAACGAACGAATGAACTGGACACCTGCACCACTCATCACCTATCCTGTCTAAATCGACCACTTGATGAAGTCAATTAACTCCCTGACATGATGTGCACCACCTGAAGTCCATTGAAGTCCATCGATGTCCATTGATGTTCCGCTTCCATGGCTTTGCCTGTGAAGCTACTGAAGGTGAAAAACATGATGAGTGCTAAATTCGTTCTAAGGGCCTTCCCCTGCCATACTATACCCTCACGACATCATATATCCAAAATTATGTAGCACGCTCATGATCCCTGAGGCACCTATATTCCTCCCCTTGGCCACACCCTTGCCATCCACTTCGGATCGTCGATCACAATTCATAATATGGTCACCACACAGTTACACATCTTGTCTATCCACTTCTCCATGCAACTCCATGCGCCTTTCTTCAGATCTACACGCACTCTTCTCGCAGAGAAAGAGTTCCACGTTCCGCTCCACGCGCGCTCACCGCGCGGAAAAAGAAAGGAACAGACGTATAAACAAGACCACAAGAACTCAGACCATCTCAGACGCGCGGGAAGCACCACGCCGTGGCAAAAACGCGGAGAAGACGGAAAAAGACAAAACACCAAAACACAAAAAAAGAAAACCGATCACCCTTGGCATAGTTGTTGATCTGGATCGTGCCCGACGCGCCGTTGTAGTCCACCCTTGGCGTGGCCACGGACCAGAAGGGCGGCGCCAAGAAGCGCACGATGGTGGGCTCAGCGGTGAGGAACTTCTGGTTGTTCATGTAAGCATCCTGTTGGCACGGTTCATGGGCTATACAGTTCTATACAGTTCTATAGCCATGGGTTCAGGAACTTCTGGTTGTTCTGGTTGTTCAACTGCTGAATATGGCTATACACTCGTGGCGATCAACTGCTCGGGCTATACACTCATACAGATGGCCATCAACTGCATTCAACTGCTCAAAACTGCTATTATACACTCATGCAGGTTGATATACCATGCAGTCATGTACTGCTCGGGGTGTTTGCAGCGGTGCCCATGCTGCGCATGCTGCGCATGCTGCCGGTACATGGTTTTTGCGGAGTTTTCTTACAACATGGCTACAATGCAGTTGATATACAGGCATGTAATGTACTGCTCCATATTTTTTGCGGTGCGCATGCTGTGCATGATGGCCACCGGTCTTGGAGGCAAGGGATCAGGCATGTGGGTGCTTTCTGGTGCATGCTGCTGCATGCTGCTGCGCTGCTTAGGTGCTGGGGCCCGGCACGAGAGGGCTGTCGGCGTCGGCACGGATGCGCGGCGCGCGCCAGACTTCCAGCCGCTGGGGGTGATGAAAGGATGTAATGGCTGGCTCACATATTCTTGTATCACCTGGGAAGGACTGGATGGGCACATGTTGGTGCATTCTTTTCCGCTTTCAGTGCTCTTGCACATTTGGGACACCGTGCTGTGCAGATGCTCGCTCGTCGTTTGCTCAATTCCTCTGAGAGCGT